GGGGGGGGGGGGGGGGGGGGGCGTACTCTTATGCTTTGCATGCCTTAGCGGTTAGACCATTGACCACGCGTCCTCGAGAGGACGGAGCATTGTTCCCACAGGACCGATCACCGATGGCCAATCGTTCCTTCCTACTTTGCCAAAGGTGGCTCAAAAATGTCTTCCCTAGTCTGTCTATCCTACCGATGTCACTTCCCGCCTTTTCAAACCACTTCCTACTCCCCAGTACCGCTACCGTCCTCTCCTCTCTATTCCATGCCTCAAACATCTCCCTGTACGTCCCTTGCATTCTTCCCAGCTCAGTCATGTACACTTCCCTCTCCTTTTCGTACCACGGACATTCCGCGACTACATGAACACTGTCTTCGCATTCAAAGCCGCAATGACATTTGAACTTGTCGTCTTCGTCGTCTACCGTCCTATGTCTTCGTCGACGTTCGCGAAGGCCTATGTCCCCGGTCCTGAATTTGACCTTAAGCTTTGTCCCTGCATCCATTGGTCCATGTAGGTAATCCTTGAACCCTATTCCTTCTTTCAACATTCCGTACACTTCTAGACCCTCCTTATCCTTGGATTCTTTCCTTAGATTCTGTTCTTCTCTGTCGGCACAAGCAACAGATATCTTCTTCTTGAACCCCTGTAGACCCTCCGTTTCCAGCGTTTCATCTTCGTCGATGTCCAATCCCTTCCATACGTCCTCTACAACCTTGACCCATTCCGTGGGTTGTCTACCCCTCTTTTTATTTGCCCAATTCGCCTCCCATACTATTCTCGGCAACCTCTCCTCTCCCATCCCGCACATGCGGTACTGCCATGTCAGCTTCCTTACGTCTCTTCCCGACCGTAGGGATTGGATCCCCAATTCTGCCCTGACTGCTGCATTACTTGTGCGCTTGGAGCATCCTAGGATAATTTTCGCTGCTTTCATCTGCGCCGCCTCGAGTTCTTTCACTACGTTCTTATTTCCTTCCCATACTTCTCCGGCGTACTCCAGAGGCGGTACGATTACGCTCT